TAATAATAAAGAAAGCCCGAGTAGCTCAGAGGTAATGTCTTCGCTGCAACACTAAGTGATTCTTGTTAGAACCTCCTAGGGGGAGCTTCATTGCCCTCGTGGTTACAGATACACTTTCCTGACGATTGTCAACAAGCGCGAAACCTAAATCTAAGGTTTCCTGTGTATTATCAACTTTTGAACATCAGTGGAAATAGGGTAAAATTCGGATTGACATCTATCTTAACTAAGTGTTTAAATGTGAGATGCATGAGTAGGTTAGCTGAAATATCGCTAATCATCAGCCGGTTAAGTGTAAAAGAATCTTTTCCACTCTTTCAGTTCTGACCACATTTTCATCTGTAAAATGGCATTAACTCTAATTTTACTATCCATGGAATGATGAAAGGTCTGCGAACTTTAACTGCTGCATATTTATGCCACGTTTTACACTTATCAGCATCATTTATTGTTTTGTTGGACTACAACCTGTTTTATACAATCTTTGAGGTAATTATGTAAAACGTCCAATAGATGTTTTACTTACTTTTTTACTATATATTCATTTTAGAATTGAACAAAGATATAGAAAAGTCCATTGAGTATTTTCTAACTAATACTAGCCGTAGGGTTGATGAAATTGTCTTTTGTTTGTTTCATAACATTACGCTTTTGCACACAGTTGTGTAACGTGATCCTTGAGAAGAGTTGATATAAGAAAGTCAGTCCCCGCTATAGGAAACATTGAATTAACAAAACCAAAGTATAACATGTTAAGTTTTGTTCACAGAAACTGTAGTTGTTGCGTATAACTAAGTTTCTGACTTTCTTAAAATGTTTTGTTGAAGAGTAGGCTTAAAGTTGTGTAATTACGATGAAACCATCATATTATACTGAACCAAGAAATCACTGGCTGTAGTTGCAATCACTTTAGTCAATTTTGATTTGTTGTTTGAGCTTCTGTAGGTATGTATCTTGTAGTGACATGACTTAAAGTGACTTACTGTTGCCTAATCATCCTATTACTTTAATTTTGCTGGTCATCCGTTTTCTTTAATCACTTTTATATTGTTCCACTATCTTTTTGTCATTGATTATTCTTTAAAAAATTATAACAACTCCAGTTTGTATATTCCAATCCAAATTATTCTGATTCACTGCTCAACTATGGACTTTGGAGTATTATGCTGCTTAGAAGCATGAAATATATAAGAATCAAGAATTTTACTTGATGTTCTTTGTTCTATGATTACTCTTATTCTTCGTCACTTAAATTTCTAGTACCTAAAACTGATCGATACTAGAAACTAGAATGATATCATATACTTGGATAACCATATAGAAAACATTGATTTTACATTGAAAATAAAGTTATTTTGTGAATTTATTATGAACTAGTCCAATTAAATGTAAAATACATCTGTAAAGTGCCTGTTTCCAAACCTAGTACTGAATATTATCAGACTTGATTTGTTAGACTTTATGTGATTTTCATTCACCGGTGTACTGTCAGCGGTTTCCGTCAGGGATATATCCACTCTCACCATTTTGATTGAACTTTGTTATGGATGCATAGATAGATATAACCCTACTTACATCTAACTTCTTTGGGAATAATTTGCTATCTATAAGATATCTGGTTGGCTTGCAGCATGCAAGGAAAATAATCGTGCAGAAAAAACAGTTCAGTGCAACTCAACTCGGTACATGTTTATGTGCTAGGCTATAAACCACACTTGTTAAGTGAGGGCCTATGATAAATACCTTCTCGCTTAAGTTGAAGTAGATGGAGCAGCATCCAACCCTAGGATCCATTGCTTGAAATTCGAGTAGAAGCAGCATGATATTAAAGTAGAGAAAAGTACATGTCAGGAGAGAAAATGGTTAAACGAAGGTTGATGATGTCGGAAATTTTGAAAATGACTGATAAACAAAATCAACGTAGAACCTCTCATAGAAGTGCAACAACTTAAGCGACTATACTTTACAGCGGCATGCAAAGAATAAATCTGTAGAAAAAGAATGATATTAGAGCAGACAACAGTGCGTCGACTGGCAAAGTCAAGGCTGGTGAAAATACTCAGGTTTTAGAAGACGTTAAAGAGTGAATATATCTCCGCCATTGCTACCGATTTTCTGGAGATGATATAGGATCAATACATCTACGTTACTGTTAGCGATTATGAACCGTGTCACCGAGAGTTGTCAACCATTGGTTTTCAGCATCGCGAAGTTACCAATCAGGTGGTTTATCGACATTTGACCAGCAGTCAGCTATTTCTGGCTGGACTGAAACCATGTTTAGTTTTCCTTCAGCCTGACCATACTCCGACTAAAATTGTGTGTTGAGTGAAACAGTGAATGGGTGTACATGTGCCAGTAGACTGCAAAGCAGCACACTCGTCTTTTGACAGACAGTAGTGTATTTCTGCGGGAATTAGTTTGCCTAATATTCTAGGTTCCATAGTTATCTGCTGCCTTACTAGAGCTCATAAACAGCAAACTCGAGAAAATCAGGCAGGTTTCAGACCTTGACGAGGGTCCGTTGATTATTTCTTTTTCTCCGACAGCTTCTGAAACACGCGTACCTACCGGTCAATAGCCGACACTTGCCATATTTCTTGACTCTTTCTTGGACTCTATCACCTGTGAGGTTTTGTGGCAGTATCTGACTTTGAAGGGCGTATGGAGCAAGTAAATAACGCTAATCAAAGCTCTCTACTCGAACTCATGCAGCCGTTTTAAGACTTATGGAGAGTTGTTATCAGAATTGACGATGATTAGTGGTGTTCGCCAGGTATTCCCATTTTCACCGTTCCTATTTAACTTCTTCATAGACATACTAATGGACAGAACTATATTGGTACGTCTGATTTTGCAGAGATCTGTCTACTCCCTGGAGGTCATCTGACTGATCCGGAGTATGCAGACGATACTATTCTTTTAGGCTGGGTGAAGATGCTGACGCATTACAGGGTCTTTCGAACTCATTGAGCAGAAATCTGAGTATGTTTGGCATACACCTCGCATCTGTCAAATGTAAGATAATGTTCCAGGACTCGTTTGCATCTACTCCCAGTTTAATAACAGGAGGTGGGGTGGTGAAATGTATCTACCACTTCGTTCACTTCATGAGTTGCATCAACCCTAACGGGATGGTTGGTGACGAAATCTCAGTTGGGATACAGAAGGTCGGCTCGGCATCTTCCAGCTTGCGTCGTCTCTGACGCTGACTGTTTGGATATTGGATTATATGTCAAAGGACGTGTATAATGCTGTGCAGTTTGTCGTGTCCTGTTATATGGCTGTGAGACATGACGGTTGAAAGTAGATAGGAATGGATTATAGGGTTTTGATCACATATGTCTTCGTAGCATTGTCCTTGTTAAGTGGAATCACCGTGTGAGCAATGTTGAAGTCAAGTGAAGGGTACTGAGTAATGTAGGTGATTCGATTGATTAGGTTGTAAACCCTAGTTGACTTAGATGGCTTGGACATGTACTGTGAATGCTGAGTCACAGCCTACGTTGACATCCCATGCTAGAAGAGAATGTGTGTTAGGTTGGAGGTTTTCTCAGAGTGGCCAGACCAGTGTATGGCACCATTCTATGAAATTTGTGACTGCTGGTTTGAGTTGTATAGAGCGATGCTGACTGCCTGGTTGAAGTCGGCTAGATGAAAGGAATCAGTGGTTGAGGACTCTTGGTGACATGGCTGAAAACCGGTCCCAGTTGTGTAAAGGTATTCACTCCTTGTCATCTTCTAAGGCTTAGATATTTACACTAACATTTTTCTTCAAATTATTTTTTTCTGTCATACAACCTTGTTTACTTTGATATCACTTTTTCTATCCACCCGTTCTTTGTATACTACTTCGAAATGTAGCGACTTGAACTGATGCATTTGTGTACGAGTTTTGACGTTGATTTTGTCTCTGTCTGTCTCCGATACCGCTGATGGTGCATACTGGTTAATGCCATATGAACGTTTCTCACCTATCCTAAGATGTCGTCAGTAGGGTGCGCACTACCGAGGAGTCCCATACTAGGATGGAACAGTTGCCCAGTGCTCCCAGACTTCCAATAGTTCCTCAACTGATATCAGTTCCTGATGAATACTACGTCTAAATATCCTTGTATTGTCTTGCAAGAGAAATGTTTGTATTGTAAGACAGTTTGTAAACTGAGGTATCTACGACGATATTTTGATCCCGGTGACTAGCAAGGAAATCCAGGACACGCATTTCGTCCTACTTGGGACTTTTCAGCTGGACGTACCTACCCCCCAGGGAGTGATGTTGTTCCCACGGGCTCGAGACCCGTAAATTCCGATTTAAACGCGAGAGCGTTAACCACTAAGCCATTGGGGCACGTTAGCCACCTCTTGTGCAACCGGTATTAGTTATTGTTGTGATACTTATAGTTTCCTATTGCTATACAGGACTGAATTGTTCTACCTCTATTGGCAGATGGGCTCCTATGCGGATGCCTCGATACTGCCGGATATTCATGATGTTATATTGGTCTCAGGGACTAGCAAAGAGATTCAGCACACACATTTCGTATCATAACAACAACTAGTACCCGTTGCACAAGAGGTGGCTATCTTGCCCCAATGGTTTAGTGGATAACAATCTGGCGTTTGAAGCTAAGGATACTAGGTTCTGGCCTCGGTGGGAACAATATCACTCACTGAGGTGCAGGTACATCCATCTGACCAGTCGCAAATAGGACGAAACGTTCGTCCTGGATTCTTTCGCTAGTCACCGAGATCAGTATGATATCATGAATAATCAGCAGTATCGAGGCATCTGAATAGGAGCCTATCTGCCAGCAGAGGTCGTGAAATATCTACGCTTGCACAAATTTATAGTCATTCATCAGGTTTTATTTTGTTTTAAATTTCTAAGAATCTCAGTGCTTGCTTAATTGGTTTGAAGCATAATTTACAAATTCGACAGGTTTTTCCTTATTTATACACTGTGGTTCATGAGATTGTCTTGTAATTTTTCTTCCTATTAGGAAAAAAGTATCCGATTACAGGATAATCTTGAGACAATGATGAAACGAGGCTCTAGTTTCATTCAAAATTTTGATAGTAAACGTCGTGAGTTTGTTGATCAATTAGAGGATATTTCACATGAAGTTGTTCGATCATTTATGCGTATTTTTGGTTCTGATGGTCATCTACGTCATTGGTGGTCATCACGTAAACGTGCAATCTCCAATTCAACTTTTTCAACACCACAGACATCACCAACCTGTAGTGCAAGTGAAGATGAACTCGAAGAAACTTATTGTAAAAAACCAAGAAAGTGTTATAGCGTGAATTATGGTTCTCGTTCCAGTAGTCCTATCACTGATTCTGATGAACAAATAAATGAAATGAGAATGTTAGTTCATATTTCTTTTTAATCTATTCTGTTTTATCAGAAATGCTGTCATTCTAGCAAATAACTTTAGGATAGATTTTTCATGTTGTTTTATCTTGTGTGCAAGCTAATTACTTCATTTCCATTAAGATTCACAATGTAGTTCGTTACTTCCTATTGAGCAACAGTTTTCATCCTAAATCCATGTTAGATTGGTAATCACTGAGAATGGAAAGCTACCGAAGATCTCCTTTGATCCACTTCAGAAAGCCACATCTTTGACATTTCTCAGAATCAAGCCTGTTAACCTTTATTCCCACAAGAAACATTAATTTTCGAATCATAGGTTACAATTTTAGCGGTCACTGTTTTCTTCTTTAGGGTAGTGGTTTGGTTTCTCAAATTCCACTAAAGCTTGATAATTCTTTCCATTGTTTAATCACTTTTTCACAACAGGAGTCGATTTGGAGTTCATAAATTGAAGCCTTCATTGCTTATGTTTTTTTTATTACATTTGCAAGAAAAGAGAAAACATCTGTTCAAATTGTGAATGATCACTCAAAATTGTTCATCAATTACCAATATATTGACATTAAGCTAAGTTCTGGTAATATTCCTAAGGGTGAAAATATATTTGGATAGTCTGAGGGAATCCAGAACACCTACAGCTCAGTCAAAAGTGTGGTCTTTAGGAGATTATCATTATTACAATTATAATGACTATTTCGTAGCTTCTAATTTTATCATTTTCATGAATTTAAGTATCATCTTTAATTCACTTCCAGACTGTGTGATATTGTGACTGACTTATTAACTGAACATTAAAAGCTCTTCGTACTTAGATACAATCTTTCCATATTGTTAGCTCCTAGTTATCTGAAGCATTGTTCAACTGTGTGAATCGATTTTTCAGTCGAATTTTCAATCAAAGTTTGTGTAACCTATTCAATAAATAAGGATCTTTGTCTATTTAAAGTGTCTTGCAGCCTTGATCTATGCTAAGTCACTCCCAAAAATGATATATTTGTACTGAAATATTCACAACAGAACGAAATTAGAGTCGATTGACTGTCAAACAACTTGACCTAAACAAACGGCGAAGAAATAAGTCCCTATAGTTAATACTTGTATACTTGACCTGCTATTGTTTAAAGTATTTCATGCAGATCGTCTTTGTATGGTGATTGGTTATTAATTGACTCTGCTTTTTGATTATTTAACCAATGTTAATTGTTCATTGGTGGTTAGTAGTGAAGTTGCAGGACGTACCTTTCACTCCTAGGTGTGGAAGTCAACACTTAATGCACTTAAATAGTATCTTCTAAACTAATAAGGCACTTGAATCATCTCTTGTGTATTGATACTGATATGAAATCTATATATTTTTATTTAATTCTTTACTGTCTTCGATTTTAGGTTGTCAAGTACAAAAGAACCAGATGCATACTTATCTCCATTACGTGCTGAAAATCAAATCGATAACACGTTCACCATTACAACTGAAACTAGACGATTATTTCCTCGTCAAGGATCGAAAAGTGAATCGAGACTACGCAAAAATAGTTATCGTAGTCTACATTCCACAGTGAGAAATTAATTATTCCTTAAAAAGAAGTAAATCTCTCAGGTTTCATTCACTATTATTTGACACTTATAGTGATAGTCTTATCCTTTCACTTACTTCAAATGAATAGAATTTTAATGTACTGTCACTTCATTCTTGGGTTTTCTTTTTTCGTTTCTAATCTATGCATAGAAGCTGAACTCGACATTTTGAACGTCTTTCTGTTCCTTTTGATGTGTATTGGCATAGTTGATACAACTATTTTTATTCGAACCTACAATTTTATTTCCTACACTGTCATTTTCCGTTGATTGTTAAGTCCTTTCTTTTCCTTTTCACAGGTGAAACATAGTATCCTGCTTATCTGTACCAACTAATTATTTAGCAAAACAGAAGCAAACACTAATAAACATATCTCATTCAGGTTATATACATTCATTTCTTCTTGACAAAAGGAAATATAATCTTCATATTTACTGATTTTGTTTCTAATTGAATGTGTAAAGCGCGTAAAAATGCTTCAAGCATTCATAGCTTAGCCATCCATCATAAGTGATTTCTGTTTCTATTGTTGCCTTTCATCATCTGAATTAAGATTCACTTTCTAACACTTACAGTAAACAAAAGTTGGATTAATTCTTAAGATATGAACTAGATGTTCTTTGTATTTTGAGATTATTAATGTATCAGGTGAAACTGTTACTTGTAAGTCATTCAGAGCTCCATTTGCTTTTCCGAGATGTATTTACTACTAAATAATGACATCTTAAAAATCAATTTAATCACATTGTTTCTGAGACTGAAATGATTAACATAACATGAAATAGTGCAATACAGCGACCACGTATATGTTCATATACTAGACATTCAAGTAGACAATCTCCATGAGGATCAATTGTATTACCTAGCTGTTTAATTCCAGTTTGCGCAGAGGAGGTCGAATCTTCAACATACTGATGCTTAATCACATACACCACAACTCTGTGAATGGTATTGGAGAATAAGCCTGACTGAAGGTAGGGTTTAAACCAGAGACTCATATCTTCGTATCCTACTGCAATCCAATTTTTCTTCCAACTTTAATCAGTCACAACTCATGCACTTCTCATCGTGTTTAGTAGTTCTTCTACCATGTGATCTGACAGAATATATTATTGAATCCCTTTGTTTTTTCTACAAAACTCGGATGGTTACTCCCCTTCTGTTTGGGCTGGATATTGTTTCTACGCTTAACAGTCTATCGATTTTGAATGACTTGCTTTTTTGGTTGTCTTAGTCATGTGCGGATACAAGATTAACGGTACCAAGCTGGTAATATTGTGTAATGAAGTCGATTGTAGTTGGAGGTAAACGGATAACTTTTAGCTGCTTTACAGAACATAAACTGGTCTGTTAAATCTGTAAATATTGATGAATGTGACTCCGAAAAGCTTATTCAAGGCAACTGATAGTTGATTAAACTGCCTGCTTTATAGTAAAACCTCATCATATAATAAAGTGTTTTTGTTTTGGGAATTAATATCGTACATTCAAGCAGATTAAATTTTTCAATAATAAACTTTGTTGTTTATAGTTCATATCTTCACTCCAAATTACATCCACCCCATAGTAGATGATCGGGTATCCCGCTGGTTACATAAGCTGGCTTATGCCATTCCAGCCTTTTGTATCCGTACCAAGATTTCATCGGTCACCGAGCCACCAGGACTGATAGAACGTCTCGAGTAATCATTATAGTAGACATAACCAATTCCCTCTGTATTGAAAGATCAGGTATTAATGCGGATGAGACCTGCATACAAGAGATGAGAAATGCATTTTCAGTACTTTCGAATTTTTATTCATCGTGTCCAGAAATCTGTATCGTGCCATCGAATAGATCCTTTTGCAATTAGGTATTGATGGTATGGGCGCATACAGTACTGTCGCCCCATACGGAGTACCTGCCTGGACTCTGGTCATGCTTTAGTGTGTACTAAGCTCGTATTGCGTTTTGGTGGCCATCAAAACCATCGCCCTAAACAAGTAGATGTACAAAAAAATCTGACCTGGAATTAAGGCTAGATGCCGATCTTCCAGAAAGTGTAGACGAGCACTGGCTGCACTTGCAATTCGCTATGAAAATGGGGAATAAGGAAACCTGCAGTCTGGAAGGACGTCTTGCTGATAAACTCTGGGTTCCCACGAGCTCCTTGCAACTTCTTGACGCCCAGCGGATAGCGAGCATAATGGTTCGCGTAAGTCTCCTACGCGAAAGATTACACAACTCTTAAGCAAGGACCGTGAGGTTTGATGGTCAAAACGCTCAAGTGAGATGGAAGCAGCACTTGCATCGAGTAATACTCGGGAGCTGTTCCAGCTCATCCGAGCCATTGGTAGTAAGAAGCTTGTTGTCAGTGAGACGGTCTGTGGGGTAGATGGTACGCCGATAAATAATCTTTAAAGACCACAGGATCCCTTGATGGAGCACTTCGAAAAGCAGTTTAGCTGGCCCACTGCTCCAGCATCCTTAGTTTCAACGTATCGTGTTCCATGGTCAGTTAACAGTGACCCACCTAACGGAGCGGAGGTCCATTAGGGACTCCATGTTCTCAAACGACGCAAAGCATCTGGCCCAGACAGCTTACCCCCGGCTTCTTTCAAAGACAGAGGAACGACTCTAGTCAGGGCACTGACCACGCTGATACTGTTTTTCTATGGGGAGCAGAGGTTAGGAAAGATCGACCCTAAAAACGAACAATCCCTCTAACCAGCGATATTCTGACGCCAGAGGTACGCGTTTTCTCGATGGGTTGGAGTCAGTTATCAGAGCCTGAACTCCCAAAAAGGCCGTGTGTAACCAGCCCCAAGCAGATATCCTTAGACTTTGAGGGGACACACCACTATTAGGAATACAATTTTCTCAGTTACATGGAGAAGTAACCTTCCATAATGTGGAGAACCGAAGACTGTCAACCACCCTCGCAACTCCAGCAGCACTCAACTTCCTTCAGATCGTTGACAACCTTCCGCATCTTTGCCTTCTAATCTTCCTTTATATCTCTACCAATGATCTTACATCATCTTTGATTGATCTAAGCTCTCCAGCCCTTGATAACGGTTCAAGGTCAATGAACAGCGTCTCTGGTCATTCGAAGACTCTCTACAAACTATATATTGGGGCCTTCAACTTTCGTACTCCAACTCAAGTCTGTCAACAAGCTTCGTTAGCCAAATTTCTCGGACCGTGGAGTTATGCAGTGTTTGAGGGAGAACATAACTTTGGTTTTCCAACTAACCTGACTCGATTAATATGGTGAATCCGTAAAATTCACTCTTCGAGCTATTGTTTATTCGATGGCCAGTCTTCAATACTTTGTAAGTGTATGTATAGCCTCAAGTTTTAAGTAAAGTATGTTTGTGTTGATGTATGTGTTTATATATTGCAGCATAACCCATAAATATTGTATGACTGCTTATGGCACAACATGGTTGTCCATTTCGAAGGACGTGAAGTGAGGATCGGACTCGTGACCCATGACGGGTATTTCAAGTGCCTAAGCCAATCAGATACATCGTCCTGACGAATCTCAAATCCAAACAGGAGCTAGTTAAAGGCATGAAAATCAGCAGTCATCAGAATGCTGTTCAACTAAACGATGCAGTGAGGAACGAAAAGAATCCTAGAATTCACTGTTGTCTCTTTGCAATCTCTCTCTCTCTCTCACACACACACACACACTGATTGCAGCTTGGATGAGTTCTGCCGAAAACTGTCTAGCCTTCTACTGAAAGTCAAACGTTCAGATGTCGGTGTAGCGGGTGATTTGAATGTACAAGTGGATACGTCAAGTCTGACACAAAGACACTTAGACAATATCTTCAGAATCCCCGTCGAACGAATAGATAACGGTGACCGCCTGCTACAACCGAGTTCAGATAACCAATAATCTCTGATCAGCACGAAATTAAGACCCAAAACGAGACATTGTCTGACATGGCGTTCACTGAACTCAACTCAGGGGTGGACGCAGACTGACCATATTCTTTTTAATTATTGCTGAAGAGGCTCGGTGGGAGATAGTGCATTGACTCGAGCACTCGTATGTTTGCATCTTAATGGATGCAGAAAAACTATAGTTGCAGGAACAACCCCAGCGCAGCCCGGTGATTAGAACATTAAGGCAGTTTTCAATGAGAAACTGGCTAGACAGTCATCGGAACAGAACAACACTCATTCAGAATAGGTTTGGCGCTGTCCATTCTATTGTAAAGCAAGTGTTAAATAATACAGCTGCCTCTCAGAAAATAATGATATTATGAGCAGTAATTTATGCTCGAAATGTCATCAAGTAAATAAGACTAGATCACTGTGTTATAAATCAAATCAACAAATCCAATATGCAATAATCAGAGAGGACTAGTGGAACTCAACAGCATCTTCAGAATTAGTAGATACATGTGAAAGTATTCCTGCAGGCTCCAAGCGCAATGAGTGGAAGCAACTAAAATGTACACGAATAGTGGTGAGTTCCGAAGGCCAAAGAAGTGGAAAGGGGATCGATGATGGGCAAAAGTAGACAGTCATATAAAGCGGTCAAGGGGATTGGAGCGGGAAAATCAATCGTTAGTGAGACTATAACGCAGAAGGATGGGTCCGTTATCCACTCTTATGGGAAACGACTGCAACGATTACTAGAGCACTGCAAGAAGCAATTCAATCGGCCTCATCTAGTCAGATCCTTAATGGAACATTGAGATGAGGCCACCGACTCGTGCAGAAGTAGAGAAGGCTGTAAGTGATTTGAAACAAGCGGAGCTGTGGTTCAAGCAGTTGACTTTCAACCACTCGGTCACCCAGGTAGTAGTAGAAGCATTAGCCGTCACGCAATAATTGCCGTTCATTGCCTACTGCACGAACGTGCACAAGTGTGATGAGTACGTTTCAATTCCAGACGTGAAATGAGAAAGGCTGGATGTGCTAGTCCCGAGGGTCATTGGTTACTTGGTAGGTTGACTGAAACATCAGCCAGCGCACGGGAATCAGCTATGATCAACTCTGATCGGTCTCAATCACTGACCACCCCTCTTCAAGAAAAAGCAGAAACCCTCTTACGATTATCACAAGAGAACCAGTCTAACATTGTGTCTAAGACTACAGGTTCTACATCGACCATACGTCTAGATGGAGCTCGGAACATGAAACCCAAGAAAAACAGCCAGGTTTCAAACCTGTCCATCTTTGCACCAACAAAATATTCACTCTCCACCAGGCTCTCAAACACGGACACTTGTCGACGCCAAACACTAGCGGTGTTTCTAGACCTGAAGGTGGCATTCAACTCCGTCGACCGAGAGGTCATATGAGTATCTCCGGCCGGAACGAGTGACAGGTAAG